GGAGTTTAATGAGCGGACATTGGTCAAAATTAATTTACTTTTCAGTTTGGACAAAATGAGACTGTGACAAAATGGGCTCTATCATATCTTCCATTAGGTAGACAATTTTATATTAGCTTATAACTACGACCACGGCCAGAACACCTGTTTTATATTAAATTGTGCTCACAAAGAAAGCTTTGACATTATGCTATTATTATATGTGTGAAGTTTATTGAATACATTTTTCTTTATATCGGAATAATCTCCTTTATTGTCGTGTCTTCTGGTCCGAAGTATGTGTTTAAGTTCGTTCGTTTTGTGCGAGATTTGGCACAAGATTAGCTTTTACGAATCGATTAATTATCTTCCCGGTTTATCTTCGAGCACCAGATTAGTAACGACCCAACAAGAAAGAGTTTCTGTATGGCCACGGCTTTTATTCTTTGAAACGCGATTTGTATTGTTGTTAAGTATAATCCATTCACAAGAGAAAGGCGTGTTTACGTGTTTCGCACAAAACGAGAAGTGTTTGAAAATAACGTTTTTTTTTCTGTATAGCCGAAAGTTTTTGCTGCAGCGTTTTTGTTCAGTACGCATTCTGTTAAGCGTCAATAGATCATTGAAGGCAACGGAAAGATATTAAAAAGGTAAATAATTAATATTTGAGATTCGGAACGTAAGACGAGTCTAATCAATATGATTACTTTTAAATGATGCGTGGAAAAAAATATGAACGAACCAATCAAAATTTCATCGATTGTTTGTTGAACTCCATAAAGCAATCGATTAGGCTTTAGATAATAGTTAGAGCTTGACGCGTTCACAGACGTGTTGCAAAGATTTTCGCATCATACCCTCCTCTCCGGGACAACTTTCGCCGGCACCGAGGACGCTGATAACTTCGCATGAATAAATATTTACCTCCAACGTTGTCCCGCATCAGTTAATGGCAACGAAACTAATAAATCCAAATTAAACTTGTCGCGGTCCTCCGTTGACATAACATATGTAAATCCATACGTCTTTATCTTTGGGATCACAAAAACAAAGGCCGCTCGAGAAAAAAAGAACCGTCCGGTCCACTCTCGAAGGCGAAACGGGTGGCCGTCGACCGCCGCCGTTCTTAATACGAAAATTAACTTTATTCCCACAATTTAAATATAGACGGCGCACAATCGGAACGACACGTCCATTGGAAAACTGCTGAATGGTCATCCTTGCTACTCGTACAAAATTACGCGTTATTAATTAGTGAATGAAATACTTTATAACAGGTTTATAACAAATTGTTTCTCTATTCATTTTATAATTTAAAAGTACCATCTGAGCTTCTATTAAAAAAAAGTCTGTGAAGATCGTGGTAAATACGATGGAATAGACACAAGCCATTAGTTTTATTCGTTTATTAGATATTCTTCACATACATCTACACTATAGAGATTTTATTTTATTTTTAGAAATTTCAGCAAACATTAATATCTTAAGTCTGGCAAATGGTCTAAAGACAGATTACGTGACAAATATAATTTTCTATGTAACAGTGAATAAATTTACCCCAACTTCTGTGATGCAAACCGAACGTCTTAAAGTATCAAGACCGATGCAGCGGCTATAACTCCTTACCCACGGATCAAGATGGAGGGTTCCGCTTGTGAATACGGTGCTTCGATATTCGCTTAATGAAGACATATTGAATCGCTGAGCGGCGAACGAGATATTCAACGTTTTAAATTGACATGCGGCCCTTTACGTGATATCCGCAGGTTTTTTGTAAAATAAAACAAATTGATACATATGGAAAAAAGGTTCAACAATTAGATTTTTTTTATAAATAAAACACCTGTTATTAGCGAGTCATAATGTAAATTTGAATTATTATCACTAATACGTGCCAGAAAAATATGATATACACATTATATATGCCGTGATAGCTCAGTGTCCGGGCGTTCGCCTTTAAGTTGTAACGCAATTGCGACTCAACCGATGTTGCAAATGTCCATGGGCTGCGGTGATCGCTTATCACCAGGTGACCCACATGCTTGTTTGCCTCCTATTCCCATAAAAAAAAAAAAAAAAAAAAATGAATATACTCGAGCAACTAAGTTCGATTGTTTTGAAAAATGGTATAGTAAATAAATAGCCAAGTCACTGTACACATAAACCTGGCTCCGTCTATCCTCAATGAGTCGGTTGGCAAAAACAAAAAGTTTTGTCTAACCTATCACGTTGGCTACATGAAATGTGGTTTGCGGGGTCTTGTCTAAACCCTACCAGACCAGAAGATCGTGAGAGGTTATTACAATATACGCGACGAAACAATTGTCTTCAGGTAATACAAATGCTTGTAAATGTGTTGCCGGTAGGAATCGAACCTACGACGTATGATAGGCCAGCAATTGCGCCAATCGTGTCATGTGCTTAAATAAGCGTTATCGTTACAAAAAAAAATGTCAATTAATGGTACACGTTTGAGAACGGGCGAAAATCGGGGGCTTAATAATTTATTTAGGAGCCGGCCTCGGACGGAGGGCGAGGCAACTTGGATTTTTAAAAGTTTGCGAAAGTTAGGCGTGCGGTGTGGCCCGAGCTCGCACCTGTTAAAGTAATTCGATGATTCCCTAATTCGCACCTTTGAGGAGGGTTAAAAAAACCCCGAAAGGCCCTCCATCCACTCCAATTCAATCTGCGCTCCTGGTAATTGAGACAGCGCTAAAAACTTTACGGTCTGTACATTTTAGATTACGCCTCGTTTTGTTGTGTTAAACAAAATGAGCGAATGTTTCCTCTTAATAATGCTAACGTGAACGCTTCGTCGACCTACACTCAAATTTGTGTATCATTGGGATTGTGAATACTTTATCTCATCATGTTGGATCAGCAAATAATATATATCTATTGAACCTTCGTAGTCGATATAAGTAAGTAAGTCGTATATTGTAAAATAATTGACCGGTAAAATATCTTTAAACTAATACGTAAACGGTTTGAGACTGAGCCATCGGTTGTGTATAATTCAGTTTTCTTGAATCGGCACGCACACTAGCGCCACGGAAACTACAGGGGGGTTGCCTTTGTTTGGTGCGTACAAAACGAGAGTGCCTCGGAGCCTCCCGCGTTTGAAATAAGAACAAACGTGTCATCGGCGAAATGACGCGTGTCGGCCAATCGGGCGGGGAGGCCGCAGACGGCGGTGACGTCACCTGGCCACCGACCAATCGCCGTGGCCTGTCGCCTCCGGTCAACTCGGACTAATTGCCGCTGTGTGCGATAACTCCAGCGCCGAGAGGAATCTGTGCACTCGAGTCGGCGCGCACGCATCCCGCCGCAAACACGCGTTGCCCTAAGTCGCACATACACACACACACGCGCACATGCACATATATAACACATGCATATTTCAATTAAAAAGAAACTGGCAAGAGTAACGTTAAAATGCCTCAATCGAAACAAAAATTAATTTGAAACACGTTCTACAGAAACTAATTTGATGCCCAAAAAATATCAGCGTGCAAAAATTAAAGGTTTTTTTTTAAATTATTTTCTTAAAAGAATAGATGGAACTGAAACTTTGATGAAGTCGCAAAAAATTGGTTGCGGATACATTGTCCATTACGAGCGTAGTTAAAAATAAAAGTAAAGCATGGGAAAATACAAGGTACAGTTATGAATTAACCTGCAATTATATTCGTCGGCACTTGGCCAGTGAGAACTGAATACAATGGGATAAGAATTTTAATGTGTAATAATTAATATGAACAATTTCTAATATTTACAGCATGCTCGTTGCAATTTTTTAAGGCAATAAAATTAGCATACAACCACTGATCTTAAGTTACCATTACTGAATTTTAATTTTTTTAAGTTTTTTTTTTATTTCGCTACCCAACTTCTAATTTTAAAATAACGACTTTCTTTAACCTAAATCTTTATAGAAAGGTAAAACAAAAATGGATCCAATTTTTGGACTCATTATAGATTTTTTGTATATTCGTAAATTACATATTTTTAATTATGCAAAGGAAAGAATGATTAAAAAAAATAAGTTCATTTACTTTCTACAATAAAACTGGTTACCAATAATTATATAATATTGTTTGTATTACTATATGTACCTCTGATTCAAACGTCTTAAACAATTGAGATCGTTACCTTATAACATTATCGTATTACTTAATAATTATCATGTAGCTATACGTGTTATTTCGATACTTGTTTGCTACGTTGCTGAGAGTCAATAGTAAACCGTAACATTGTTCCCAAAATCGTGATAGTGATCTGGTTTTATTTGCTATTTAAGCTATCGTTAAAGTATTCACGTCAAACGATGCCCACGTTATCAGTGAATTGTAAAGACAGTTTTAAGTTAACAGTACTTTTAAAATATTCACTGCCTGAAGAAGGAAAGAGGCATTCTCTTTAGGGGCTAATATTTATGTAAAAGTTACGGACCAACTAAAACGAATAACTAAAACGTGTTTGTCTTGGTGGATATTTATTCGTTTCAATTTACCGCTTGTTTTTCGCTTTATGAAATGCATATTTGAAGTTGTTCTGGTGAGATGTTTAATGGTATTATTTAAAAAAAAAGTCTGCAGAGTTTGATGTGAACTCTTTAATGAGCTGCCCCATCCCTGCGGTCAGATGACCACGGTCCCGTGCAAATATTGACTTAAGAGCTTCTCAACTATTAAGTAGCTCGTTTCTGGCTTGAATAGAGTCTCGACGAGCCACGCAGACGGGATAGCGTGGATTCAAATTTTGTTTTAATTCATGCGAAAAGCAATCTAGAGCAATATTCGGCTAGAATTTAAAAAAAACAACTTAGCGGACATAAAAGAAACTTAGCGACTTTTGAATATATATAACTAAAAAAAATATTTAAAAATTACAGTTTTAAAATATCAACAATGTATTGGAATCTTCCAAAAATAATATTTAAGGAATGATGATTGTATATGATGATCGAATAAATTACAACAAAAAAAACGAATTGAAATGCAATATGATGATAAACAAACCTTGCGCGATGCGTACAGCTGGCATCTTAATTCTCATCTTGATTTGGTCACCTATTTTTGGATCTTCGACAATTACTTTTATCCTCTGAAAAATTTATCCCAGCACTGCTCCGTGACAGCCGACAACTGCTTTCGTATTAACACTTCACACGTGCCGCCGTCGGTCCGCCGACTTGTTTATCGTCCTGTTTTCAAAGCGATTTTGATAACAAAGGTCGTGATGTCACTGAATTGTCCTCCTCGAAAGTCCGACGGCGAACAACATAATTGTAGTTCCTAGTCATCTCATCAAGTTTCTCGCCATTTCGAACTCTTGAACGTAATTGCACATCTTTACTTTTTCTTCTTCATGTTGCTCCGGATCAGTCACTCGATAGCCGAATGTTTACTTGCCAAAATGTATTGGTCATAAAACGCTCTTATCAACACTTGAATGAACGTCTCAGCGCACTATCTAATCTGTACGCACCTAGTGGCGATCTTGCGATTTGGCTATCTGACCGTACAATATCAACACTTATATTTTTTTTCGTAAATCAACTTCTGCACTTTCAGTCAAAGTCACTTGGTATTTGTACGCAATTCAAAAAAATAAAATACAACACGGTTGTAAATAATTTGAATTAAACAATAATTCGGGGCAGAAAGGTCTTAACAACTTAACGGCGAAACTTAGATGAAAACTGTAACATACAGTGTTCTGTTTACGAATTTCGCGGAGCGGCGTTTCGGTATTACGTAGGCGAGCACGTAGCGCGTGCGGAGCGGTGCGAAGCAGGTGCGCGGCCGGCCGCCCGCTCTCGCCCGATGTCCGAGAGCGTCTGTCCTGTGTCCCTTCGCGCGAGGGCTCAGCGGCCTCGTGTCCACGACTCTCGCCGTCTCGCTCCGCCGGCCGACGCGGCGCGTGCGAGTCCACACGAAGTGGCCAGGGGTTACTCGCGGTCGCCGCCGCCTCGGCACAGCGATAGAGACGACGTTATACTCCCACAAACGCGCCCGCCGACCGCGCGAAAGGGATGCACGTATATCATAAGTGCCGTGCGTTGGTGTGCGTGCGCGGGTGGGGCGAAGATGCAGCGCGTACAAAAGAAAAGGGATAATATTTGCCTGCATATTTCATGACTCGATTAGGAGATGGAATTTTTAATTGAATGGACTTGCGTCGCGGTCAGTCTACGCTTCTAAGTGTTGAATTAACGAAAAAAGCCCTCTGTGATTTTTTTCGTAAACATCAATTTAGTATTGTTCGAATACATATGCATGTTGTTTTACATTATGACATGTTTTCATAAAAATATGATTCTATTAAAATGTAATACAATTTTTAATTTAAACCTAATTGCAATGAGGCACTGAATTGGAAAAATATTATTTAGTTCAGTTGAAGTATATTTCATAGTCGATGTAACTTAAATCATATTTGGCGCGTAGCATAGCGCTACGAACGCGTAGCTCGATGGTGTTTTCGTAGTGCGCTCTATATAACTCTACATATAATTTGTTCATAAACATAAAAATGCGTGTGATTTTGTTAAATTAAACTTATTTTTGGTGGAAAAAAATCTTTTAAAAGTTAAACTTCAACAAAGTTACAGTAAGCAACACGTTGGCGAACTATACAGACGCTACTAGATCTTTCACTTTCACTCTTACAAGTTTCCGGGCGCATTTTTTCCCCAACGTTATTTTACTTAAGACGCTACGAGGAACTTATCTCGGTCGGTCCTTGACTTTAATAAGTTTTATGAGTGTCAGTCGAGACTTAACTGGCGCGAGAACGGGCGGCGAAAAAGAACTTTTTCATAATTGTTTCTCAACTCGCTTCGTGAACTTGGGAGTGCTGCGTTCGATTATTGAAATCTTTTGAATGTAATTAGAAAAATTCAATGCAACAACTGCTATTTTTCTTCTTTGCATTGACTTGTTATATTAAATTTGATCAGTGCGGTTATATTATTTATTAACAACTACAGTCTCATTGTTGAGTTTAGCACTTTATAAATAGAAATATTGGTGTATAGTTTATTGAGTTTATTTTGAATTAATTTTCATTTAAATAAAATAAGTTATTTTGAGTTTTAAATGAAAGCAAATTTATTGATACAAGATGCACTGCGCACTTTTATATTTTTTTTTATTTTAATCTAAATGCGTTGATAATTTTTCTCGTTTCTTAATCACGTGTGAGTTTTTTTCAGAGGGGACAATACGAAAGGGGACAATTACGCTGGTCAAACAGATAGGCTGGACATTAATATGTTAGAGGTCTGGGTCACTTCAGGCAGAATTCAGTTGGAACGAGAAAATCAGTTCGTCTCACTCTAAATACGAAGCACTCGGGGTGGAAATCGAGACAGGTGATGAGTTGCAAGTTTTCCCGAGCAGGGCCAAAGATATAGTGACGTCAGTACGTCCGTCTCGTTCGTATGTTGGGATATGTTAGTGATATGAAAGGGACGGTGGCACGTGGGGCACGTACGCTCTAGACGAAAATCGCCGTATGTGGAGGCTGGGAAAACAGATCGACGCTACTCGACGCCAGGCGGCGCGGAAACTGAGAAAGCCTAAACCTCTTTAAGAAGTAATCTGCTCTGTCTTTACAATCGTTGGAAATATGCTGTTAAAAAATCTTGCGTAATACTTCAAGATTACGTTAATTTTGTACGAATTCATTAGTGATTTTTATGTTACTTTTAGTTTTGATTTTATTTTTAAAATATAAACTTCAGTGCTTCTTTGTTTATAGGTTTACAGTTGAAATGCTGAATAGGAATCATATTTTATTGCATTGTTTCTTTGTAAGAATTATAATACTATTGCCCAGTGTCACATAATTTCTAAACTACTATATCACAATCATAATCGACAACAACAAACAGACACAATATTTTTCTTTCATTTTCTATCCAAAACACCGTTGTCGTTTAACACGACTGGGATTTCTTTTCACTATTACTCGGCACATTGTAAGTTTATTTTATAATATATAAAATTAACAATATTATAAAATTAATTTTATGGGAAAAAGTATGATTATTGTTAAATGATTATAGAAGCTATCTCTGTTCTCAATTTTATTTATATCCGTTCAACCATTACTGTGTGAAGAAGGATCAAAGCTCATGCAAACTTTTATTATAGTCGTGCCTTACCGATGTATTATCGAACAATAACAATTATTAAACCAAATCACTTTGGTTTAATGTGAGAATACAACACAATTTTGACTGAAATAACGGACATTTTGAACATGGTCGTCACGCGACATCGGAATTTATATAAAATACAGAAATTATCCGTAAAAGTAATTTCATGTGATAACAATCGTGCTCGTGTTTATTGCAATCAAACCTTCACTAAACTGGTAGAATTCGTTCGTATTGTTTATGAGGGGCCCGTACCCAAAGGGAACACTATTACTAAGACTTCGCTGTCTGTCTGTCTGTCTGTCCGTCCGTCTGTCACCAGGCTGTATCTCACGCACCGTGATAATAAGAAAGTTGTTTTCGCAGATTATGTATTTCTGTTTCCGCTTCAAAACCAAATACTAAAAAACTAAAAAGTAATATTTAAGTGGGGCTCCCTTACAACAGACATCATATTTTGGCGTTTTAGATAATGGCACGGAACCCTTCGTGCGCGAGAGCGACTCGCACTTGGCCGGTTTTTGCAAACAAACACCTTAGCTTTATGGATAAAGTTCGTTCGTAGCGTTCGAAGGAAACGTTACATCCTTTACGCCTTCAAGTAACAATTTTTTCTCTATTGGTCTATAATTACACGTTTTGTCGGTCGGCTTTTTTTGTGCAGTCCGCGACAGATGCGGCGCAGGATACACAAAATTGCTCAATTTGAGACACGTAACGTTATATTCGGGAAAGTATCGAGTTTTGGGGACAGCTATTCGCATCGAAAGAAGTTCTGCGCTCGTAAAATCGCGAAATTAGTAGAAACAAAAACCAAACGATGACACGCGAGCGAAATTGATCTCGTATCATACTTTATGAGAAAATTTTGTTTATTGATAAAGTCTGGTCAATAATTAACGCTGGCGACTAGGTCCAAATGAAATCAGGCGTTTTCTTTCAATTAAAACTTTAGAACCTTTTATTTTAATAAGATGCTATAATAATTTTTACAGAATTTCAAATCTTATGCATTGCGTAGTATTATATAGTCATACTTATACATTTTACATATTAAAATGCATATAATTTTAATGTATAAAATCAACTGTTTGATTTTTTTTTTCTTACTTTTACTTATTTACGCTATTACAGTCTTTAATATCATTATATCGATTTCTTTCCATAATTCTTTCGGGCATTAATTTAATTGATTTCTTCTTTTTTCTCTTGACTGTCTTTATTCGTTGTTATATTTAGAAAATTAAGTTCACCTGTAATGGCAAACGGATTGTCTACCAAGAATGATCAGGCAGGGCTGTCTTTGCCCACAAATCGAACCTAAAATCAGCACCCACCCCATCCCTGTACGCGGTGGTGGTTTAAAATAGCAACGGGCACACACAAGTCCCGTTCAAGGACACATCTCGAAGCACACGTGTTCCGGACAAGGATTGATGCGACCACAGTCCGGGAATGAAGAAATTGCTGCATTCTCCGCGTTACATCCCAAAGAGATACGACGCTCTGTTATCAACGGAGGGGATCTTGATTGGTCCTGGTTAAATTATCGCATTCACCATTATTGCGTATAAATATAAACAAATTTTTTAGCTACGAATGTAAATTATTATCTTCCTTTGATGTTTCCTTTTCATTACTCAAGTTAATTATAAAATTGGGTAGGAAAACTTAAACTTAAGTGTTTGTTTGTTAGAATAAATAAAAAGATAATTATATTGTTGGAAAATAAAATAATCTTAGATGCTTCTAGGCATTAACTTTTAATTTAATATTTAAAAAGTCGTTCGCTTTCACAATGACCCGTAAAGACACATTATTATTATTTGAATACCTAAAGTTATAAAAAAGTCTAACATTTATGTTGACAACTCTTACAGAAACTTAAGTTAGTGCGTGAATTGTGCTCAAATTTTAATTCTCTATTTCTCGTCACAAATAAAAATTTTGTTAGTTAAAAGCTAATATGTTTTTCCTCAAATTTAAATTGTAGATTTCTCGTCACGAATAAAAATTTTGTTAGATAAAAGCTAACACGTTTTATCAAAAGATCGTTTTAAGACTAAGATTCCTGGTTCATGTTCAGTATTTACGTTGCAGCATTAAGGAAACTAAAAGTATTATCACACGTATAATTTGTCTAAAAATAGCACAAACATGGAAGGGCGAGTCACGGGTACGATTTTAAATATAGAATGGTCCTTGGCTTAAAATATCTCATTAATGTCACTTCACTCATGTAAAAAAAGTAATTTGATTAATGTCACTATTTTATTTATCTTAAGCTGTTTTTAATTAATAGTCGTAAGATACTAATATTAAATATTACAGTATAAATATTATTCCTAGTGAAGTAACCGGAGATCAATCGCTGCGGTTGCAAACATGCCTGCAACATATCTATATGATGTTGCAATCGCGTGGCGATCGTCACTTAACACCAAATATATCAGAAACGAAAAATATCTTAAATGTTTTATTCTCTCGTTTTGAGTATCTAAGAACGTTGCGGCATTTAACAAGAAGTACCTTTGCGTTATTAAGCGTTTAGGCAGTACTTTATCATTTCAATTATAGCCTGTTATACTTGAGGAAAACGTACCCCGACATAAACACACAACAGCTGATATATTATATCCCATGGGCAAAGGCCTACAAACAAAAAGACGACAAAGCGTACTCTACGCACAGAAGGATTTGACAATGCCATAATACTATCGTTACGGTGTACGGTGGTAGGGCCACGCAACAGCCTCGGCTGTTGCAGAAATGGGCAGGCCCGTCCGGGTAAGTACCACGACCTCACAGAAGACCAGCGTAAAGTGGAAGTATGACAAATACTTTCGCGTTTCGTCTGGTGAGTGAGGTTTTCAAAAGGTTGTCAATGCATCTGTAACCCTCGGGTGTAGCAGATGTCCATGGGTGGCGGTATTCACTTAACATCAGGTGAACCGTCTGCTCGTTTGA